TAGTCGAAACAGCGAACCGATCTGAGTCAATTTCAATAGCGTTTCATAAAAATATCTCAAAAACGGCGACCTGTAGATTGAACATAAATTTAGATGGGCAGACGGACATACGGACCGACAGACTTAAATCAATTCCGATTATGATTCTGAATCGATCGATATATATATACCTGTTACGTATAAAAATTTGAGTACAAAAAAAAAAAAATTTACTTAAATGCTATAATTATGACTCTAATTTCAGACTTAGATACGCATAAGTACATATAATTGAAATTTGGGAATCTTCCAAGTTATTCTGATACGTGATTTGGAAGTAGAAAAATTTTGATTCGACAGGCCGCAAACGCAATTTCCCTGTAAAGAAAATATGCATATAAAATCTGATATGAAATTTTTCTTCTTTTTTTTCCATTAATTGAAGAAAATTTGAAAAAACAAAAACAATAAGTGAAAGAAATGTGATGAAATAGTTTCACACTGTCTAGAAATTTTAATTAGGCAGTTTCCAGTTGGGATCAAAGGGTTTATTGTCGCACATCATGGAAAACTTTAAATGTTGCTCTTTTGTCTCTGACATACATTCACGTATGCTGCAAAGAAAAGCCCAAAATAAATACATTTTGAAAGATTGGAAATAAAAAAGGAGGAAAAAGAAGAAGAAGAAAATATAAATACCCCGGAATTCTTTCTTAATGCTTTAAAGCATTAAACATATTACTGGGCGATAATGCTAATTGTATGACTGAATTTAAATATTCTTCAGATTCTCGGCATGTTCTCCGAAAATTTAATGCATATCCTAAGAAAGTCATACAACGACGGCATATCTTCTGTGGCAAATTATCATCGGTTCTCAGCTGCATATATATGTAATAAATGTAAAAAATTTTATCAAAAATCGCTTAATAGGCAGTAGGAGACTTTTACCGTAAGACCGGCACATTCATAAAGTGCTTTGCTTATTTCTTCCTTATCATTGTCGAATAAATTGTGCATCTGTCCGCCCGAAGAACCATCCCGTTGATCAGGTTCTTCTTGCAGACAGACACGGCATATATTCCACTTTATGCTAATTTCCATTATGCTTGTGTGCATTCAAAAATTTCTTTCTGCGATTCTTAAATTCATAAAATTTATTTAACATAAAATTTTCAATTAAAATTCCGAATCACAAAACTTTCTTATAAAACGAAAAACAATAACAAATGCTTATATATCAAAAAACAATTTTCAAAAAAGAAAAAACATGCAAGAAAATTATAACGGGCTATGGTCGAACCTTATACACCCGCCACCGACATCTTAAAACGGAACATATGCAACAGACGGACATGGTTCAATTGATTCAGAATTTGTTGTTTGGCCGGTAGTGGAGGAGGGGGGGCTGGGTTCGGTGCTACTATTTTTTTTTTTTTTTTTTCAATAAATACAATTGCAAATTAGATACGGCAACAAATGCCCAAACATCTTTAAAATGTCTTAGGTTCTTAAATACGAGTTTACTCAAATATTTTCCCCTTTTACGAAACAATCTTAGTCTAATAAAATATATCAGGTTTATGTTTTAGAAAAATTCTAGCTGAAGAAGGAATCAAGTACATGTGATGTCAGAAAGTATTGAATAGGCTTGTGCGCGCTAGTTATAGCGTTACCGTAGAAATAGTAAAAGTCTGCAAGCATGTGCTTGGCGTTAAATAGTTTAATATAATCAATAGGATATTTCGTTTTGAAACTAACTAAAAACACATGCGAACGAACTAAACCGCGTATTAACGCCTTTGTTCGCTTATTTAAATGAATATTGTACGAATGCTATTACAATGCGCAGTAATGTGTCAGGGCAGGCTCTATTAGAATGCACCGCAACCTATTACAGTCGACAGGATTTGCATCGATCGTATTAGAATGCACTATGACTCTATCAAAACTTACTCCCTGCTATTGAAATCGATCATATTATGATCCATAGTAACATCACTACTATCCATTAGAATCCTACATACGTTATCAGGGCACCCTCTCGGGGAATCCATCGTTAAGTACCAGAATATAGCGCATTAGCGTCGACCCTAACAAAATGCACTGTAATCCAGCGATACGTATCTTATTATTAGGTGGTTGCGTTAATTTTGGCCAGCGACTTCTACGTGTAAAAATGATATACACCAGTATAGATAACGATTAAATTCGATGATTTTGACCTTTCCCCAGCTCCAATGGCAGTTTTCCATTTAATATTGCTGATTTATTCAACGTACGCCGACGCTAATCAAGGAGCGCTCAAAATTGCATTTTCGACCTTCATTATTGTTTCGATTTAATTCGAAGAAATCTACTGCCGAAGGCCATCAAGCACCCTTAGAAATATAGGGTGATGTTGCTCTGTCAATTTTGGCTTCAACGGTTTCAAAATGATGATTTTGATGTCAACGGCAAAGAAAGGCCTGAAGAAAGAAAAAAACTCGAAGGCAATGAATTGTAAGCCTTATTCGACACGAATCCAGTTCAAGCTGTCAAAAATTTTCGGACAGCTTAGCAATCAGACATTTTTTTAGACATTTACATGCGACGGTAAAGACGTAATGTTTTTTTCAAGTGGGGAATGACCAAAATTAACGCAATCATCTAATAGAATCAATCGTTACCTATTCGCATCAACCATATTAGAACCTATTGTTTGCTACCTAGCGAGATAGACATGATCAAAACCTGCTCTTATCTATCGAAATCTGCTATGCTAGAATCCACCCTAATCTATCAATGTATACCCTATTAAAATCCACCTCCATCTATCAATTTAGAGCACAATAGAATCGACTCTATTGTTATCTATCGAAAATTATCATCGCATTAGAATGAACTTTACTGCAAAATCTTTACACTAGCGAATAATCACCAAGAAGAAGAAGCATGCTTAATAAATTCTGTTAAATTATCATAACTTTTCTACATATCTATCTGTTACAA